CCAATTCTTAAAATCTCTAAACGCATTGTTTACTTTTTTAAAGGCAATTTCAATGATCGACAAGACGTACATGGCACCACGCAACGTTTAAAAGCTAATAAATCATGAAAATATTTGATTTCAACTTGCAGCCAATCCCCAAAAATTGTTATTACCCCTGCACAATCGATGCTACATTAAACTGAATAAAAGAGACTGTTCGCGGTGTCGTTAAGTGTTAAGATGGCTTGTTATTTTCAATTAAGACGTTAATTGCCGTGCATAAGAGTAAATTCCGTAAATTTATAGTACAGTACCATTTGTTAGCACCCCTTATTTCTTCGGGAAAATCTAGCGTCTCATTTAATGCGGAAATTTTATTGCGGCATTGAAGTTTATTTCATGGCAGACGATAAATTTCATTCGTATTTTATGTTTCTTCATAGAAGCATCGTTACGTGAAGGAGGATATTGAAAGTAGCAGCTAAATGCTGCGCTTTTGAGTACCGCTGGATCATGCAATTACTGTGCCTCACCTTCTTCGCATGAAACGCGATTTACGTTAGCACGTTATTTTGGTTCTTATCTTATACCGTTTAACTTATCGTTAGATCGAGAATAATTGCACGAAGATACATACGTGTTTTATAAAACCGAAAATTAGGTACAAATGTAATAGAACGCTTTGATTAATAGCTGTTACTATGAAAAGTCTGTGTTACAGGTTTTCGTGTTATTACCTCTTTAGCTGTTTAAGTAATTGTTCTGAGCAATTGGAGAATTGCCAATTTGATGAGCAAAATACGATACGTTAATAGTTTCACTAACGTGTAATGCGATCTTCCTCTATTTTCAATTGAGGAGATTCTTCTGGGTATTATATTCCATTATAGCAAAATATATAATGCGTTTACCTGAAATTATAATTGGATATCAAGTTTATGAGAATTTTCATCTAGATTAAAATGGAAATTGTAGCCATTATAATGATTATCGTATAAATACATTAATTGTACCTAGCAATTCGGATTTGTATTATTATAGTATTTTCCTTGGAAAATAAATAGCTTATTATAATCTACATACAACAAATTTTCATTTCAAAATTTCATAAAAGTGGAACATTTATTTATAATAAATATTTCGAATTTTTCTTTTCAATCGCGTTTATGTATTTTCGTATCGTTATAACAATAGAGATTTGTTCAGTAAAAGATTTATTTACTGAAGAAATACTGCGTTCATCTTGAAGCTATTAAATTTTATTTGGAACGAAAATGAATTTTGAAGTAAGTAACATAAAAAAGTCTATGACTATTATGGATAATAATTTGACAACTAATACCATATCTAGAGAAAATTTAGAAAACAGAAAATGATTTGTATAGTGAGGTACATCGATATCCATAGGATAACATGTTTCCGTTCGATGAAATATCGTTGCCGATTCTTTAGTGCTCATAGTCCACGGGTTGCCCTACGATATTTTGATCAAAGTGTGTATCACGTGTTATTTTCTATCCCATATATTACCAGTCAGGAACTAACTTGAAGATGGTGTTCAAACTTTCCTAGAAAATCGCTGTGAGATATCGCAGACGAACGAACGAACCTCATCAAGTAGCAGTTTGATATCTCGAAACGCGTCGGCGAGGACGATAAAGCTTCGGCTGATTTATTCGTCGACAGGCGTCGATACATACATACATACATACATAACACGATGAACAAAAGTATTGCCACTTTTGAACCAGTTTCTCCTGTACAGTCGTGTGAAGCTCTACAAAACTTAACATTCCTGATTAACCCCTCTGCCTATGATCTCTTTCTCAACTCTGATCGATACGGCTACTTTGTCATTAATAATTTATTGGAAAAAGAGAAAGATTCTAAGCATACGTTATGTCTATATTTCCTTTTAAGTATAATAGTTGAATACAGAGGAATTATATTTACTTTGAATTCGAATGAACTGAGTAATATATATTTGTTGAATCATGTTGAAAATCTTCACCGCGAGTCTTGGTTAGGTCGATTAATAATTTATTGGAAAAAGAGAAAAATTCTAAGCATACGTTATGGCTATATTTTCTTTTAAGTATAATAGTTGATTACAGAGGAATCATATTTACTTCGAATTCGAATGAACTGAGTAATATATATTTGTTGAATCATGTTGAAAATCTTCACGTCTCACTCGTCATTGTACGGCAAGGGGTTAAGCGAGAGCAATACGGTAGTCGGCGCAAACGTGAACACTTTTGAGCGGCAATGTACACGCGCACCCCGTAACGGCAGGTGGCATGCTAATACGCGTCTAGTGAAAATACACGTCCATGATCCGACACGGTGATCCTAGTGGCGAGACTCGCTCGCCGTAATCATGAACGATATGAAGTCACGGTTAAAAGTGCCTGTAACGCGACGCTGCGCTGCTTTGCGACTCGGACAGGCATGCGGCTTGGAAATAAGTCTGACAGAAGTACCGGTTCTGGACGTCCGACGATATTATACGGCGTTAACTATTTCTCGCGTGTATTTATCGTTACATTTCTGTTCGGTACGAATGACGTCCGGTGGTTACTTTAACGCGCTGTAACCGGACTCGCTGTTACTGGCAATTACGGGCACGGTGAACGTGATGTTTGCGTTTGCGGTCGCCAACTGTAGTCGGTGGCGGCGCAGAATAATTTGGAGACTGAGGATTGACATATTTCCATAATATCTGTCTGCCGCAAACGTTTCGTTAATTCAGGACTCGAGATTCACATGTTTTCAGACAGTCCGTCTGTTGCAATCATTTCGATGTTTGAAGATTTGAGATTCACGTCGTCTTACGAAACTTGTCACTCGTAGATACTTTGTTATTTAATCTGTTTTTAATCTTATTTTTGAGATTTGATCTCGACTTGGCGTTGCTTTGAAATTTCAAGAAGTATTGAAATTTGTAAAGCTCCTTTTTAAATGTAAGAAAACGTACCACGAGAAAACGTGATTCGATTTGAAATGATATTAAGATGTTTAAGTTAATTAAAACGCATAATGTGTTATTCAGTATTTATGTTTGTTATTTTAACGCGTTGAGCGCGGCGTCGCGTCGGTCCTTAGGAACCGACAGTATTAAATTTGAGAAACTATATTTTATAAATCATATGATATAAAAGCATTTATTCGTGTATTTTGTAATGAATTTCGTTAACGTACAAATGCAATTTTAATTCACATGCCTCCTACATATATGTGGAAAGCACGGAAAAAAGAGTTACGCGTTTAAAGTGTTATACATGAATGTGGAATAAAATTAATTTCGATTAATTCAGAGTTTTTAAACAGAATAGCTCATTACTTACTTAATTTCTGAAAATATGCAGTCAATGCAATCAAAGATATTCAACCATTTTCTTTACAAAATTATTTCCTCTTTCTGTACACTATCTTATTCATTATTTAAATTATCCAAACATTGTTTACTTAACATTTTTACACATTAATGTGAAAACATATCAAAGTGACAATCACTAATTTTCATGAAACATTGTTATAATGATTATAATAACAGAACATAATAATGTTCAACTACTAGCACGATGAAAACAGTCTTCAATAGAATACAAAACTTATTTCCATATACACTTTCTTAAAAATGATTACAAACAGCTCTATAATGTACTACAGGATGATTACCAGAAAATCTTAAATATGTACAATTTATTTAAGTTGCGCGAAATTTTAATAACATATTACAAACTTGTTATATAGTATTAATTTCAGAAAAAGAAAATTTGAGAGGATTTGATAGATTAAAAATTGGTCTTCGGTAAATCAACGTCAGTTTACTATAGCACTACGCGAGGACAATTTAATTAATAAGCCGAGCGTGTATTGCTAGTGAAGTAGGCTTTTCGCCAATGCTTTGCTTTGACTGATTGTTAGCTCGCCGAAAGCTTCGCCGGCTAATAAAAGAAATATTTATATTAAACGACATATATTCTCCGGGGCAATGCTTCAATTGCTCTCGATGATAAAATTAATTGATACTTTAACAATATTACTAATATAATATTTAATCCATATGATTTTACAAATGTATGTCCGTTTGTATATTATATTAATAGGAAATTCCACAAAAATACCAGTGCGTATGCGGAGACAATGATAAATTTGATCGTATTACATTTAGATTAAAATGGTAATTGAATCATGTTATATTGAAGCCTCTGTTATATTGTATTCCATATGCCCATACATATTGTACATTCATATAATCCATATTATACCTTACAAAATTAACACATTGCGCACCGGAAACGGGAAATCTCGTTTTTATATTAATATCGACCTCCGTAGCTTTGCTAATCGCTGTATCATTTAGAAAGATATTAAATTTTATTAGAACTGATCATTTTAATATTATTAAATAATTAACCCTTTGCACTCGAAGCTTTTTCTCAGTGACATTACCAGCAACTGGATGTAATTTTAATAGAGAAAGCATATTAACATATAAATAAATGATACGGGCACGAAAAGAAAAGTCATAGATGTATTTTACTGTCTTTTATCGATTGTAAATATAATATATTTAATGACAAAATTTTACAGTTTGTAATGACAAATTTTAAATGCCTCTGCTGGAGCCCTCGAGTGCAAAGGGTTAATAATGATTATTATTAACAAATTTATCAAATAACAAGAAAATATTTGAATATTTTACATATACTGATATAAGGTGATCTCATTGAAAATCATGAGCATACCAGTTTTTTAAGAATTAACCGGTACGCAATCTGTTAATATAGATGAACTCGGAAATGAAATAAAGGAACAGAATTAATGTTACTATACCATTATGATGATTGAATAATTAAACGACATAATTAAAACTTATAAATACAAACTTTAGTTGGAACATTCATTTGTAAATAATACGTGCAGTAATATAAGAATTCAAGGATTGGAATTGCTGGGGATCTAAATACTGATCTCAGATTTCAACGATGTTTTATTATTTTTTTCTTCAGGTCGAGTCCGTGGATTTAGCGTTGAAGCTGTTGGACAACTCACAGGTAAGAGGCAAAGTGCTGTCGGTTCAAAGGGCGAAGTTCCAAATGAAAGGAGACTCGTACGATCCAGCCTTGAAGCCGAAACGAAAAAAGAAGGACAAGGACCGACAAAAGAAGATCCGCGAGAAGTAAGTTGCACCCATTAATTAGGTCACAAGCAACTCCCCTGTAACAAAGTTCTCTTACAGCATGGTTCCTAACAGGTTCAGTAAATTCAACTGGACAAATTACGGCAATATTACTTTCTGGTAGAATAATTTCTGCTGTACGATTGAAGAATTATGAAATAATTATTAAATTACAGTAATATCGCAGACTCAATGCGAATCTCAGAATATTTTAGATTCACATCAATTTACGATCGAAAGGTTTACGTCATTTCCTAAACAATCTAATCACATTTATTTTAAGTGAAAAAACTTCTTATCTCCTTTCTTTGTAGTTTTGAAAATGACAGCAATATAGGACATCGTTAATGAAACAAATCATATTTTTTGCTCGGAAATGAATATCATATTTAATAAAGAATAATGGCTTATTTATTGTTTACCCCGTAGTTTACAAATAAAACAGTTTACTATAAATATTTAGTATGTCATTAATATTTATGCGACTCACCTTAACAACATAACGTCCAACCTTTGTTTATAAATCCAAAGGTATATAACGATTTAAATGCTCATTATCATTATCTATATTCCAACATTCACATTTATATCTATCGTAATCATTATGCAGTTGTTACTCAATAACTTCTCAGTTCTACAGCGTATAGCATTTCACAGAAATAATCATTTCTGAGGAACAATTATTTAATAACAATCTTCAATTATAACTTCTCAATAACTTTTACAAGGAAGTAGTACAGCATCTTGTTTCGTTGAATTTACTGAATGCGTTAGAAACTCTACGGTGGAACCTTGTTATCGAAGGACACAATTAACCGTTCATAATTAAAACAATCTTAACATTCCCAAATTAATCGCTGTTCGCCAGTTATTTAACCAGAATAACTTCGATAAAAGCGCAGCGTCTTTTCCTTTGAACGAGCATTTTACTTCGTCGTTATAACGTAAAATATTTTGAACGTCCGTTTTTGCATCTTCCCTCGCCAAGAACTGAATGCAGGATGCATTCAACCGTTTCACATCCCAGGAACGGTGTACGATCAAAGAAAAACCGTGTTCAGTTTTTTTCTTCGTCTCCCGCTATCTTGATCCGAGAGAAATCCGTGGAAAGAGCAAATTCTCCTGCTCGGTTCTACCCATGAAATCGCATCTTTGAGCATATCCGGCGTTCCTCTTTCCATTCAGTTCGGCTCATTCATCTCGGCCCAATGACGACCATACCGGAATGCGTATCATGTGTTACCACTTAATCTCCAGGAAATCGAGATTCGCCTCGTCCCTGTACTCAATTTATATTGCCCCCGCCCGCACTTCCGCTCTGCACAGTTTCTGTACACACGATTACAAAAACTTTATAACGATTTGGAAAACGATGTGTCTTTAACACGTTGAACGCTGTATAATTTCATAGAGCAAAACACAAAATGGGAGAAATATAATATTAATTAATTTGTTTGAGTTGCATTATTATTGCATCTGGCTAAATGTCACCGCATAGGTAGCGTTATTTATAATATAGAAATGTTTTCAAATAATCATCGATTAATTGAGTGAATTGTAATAATTTCAATTTCCATGGCATTCATGTTAATTATGATTTAATGTAATTTGATCTATCAATTCAAATTTATCGGAAAAATACATTTTAGAGTACATAGTCGGTGTAACTATAAAATAAAAACAACAATAATAGTAATAACATAAGAAATTAGCAAATATGCAGTTTCTTAACTTTAATACAAAGGAGCGTAATCATTTGAAACTTTGAAAAATGCTGGCATCTTTCAGATTCTCCTCAGCTTAATTAAAAAAATTCCCGATATTTATAAGTGTGTTCACTTTCTTGTCTAGAAGGGTTAAAAATTGTTCATCTTTGAAACTCAACACAAAGTGATTTGAAGCTAATACAAACATAGTGTTGAAAATTGTTCATTGTTGAATTAAATTTCAATAAATAACGGAGTTTTATTGTGAAAAATATAAGTTTATTAAAAAATACATAAAGTCTACTGTTGACCACGAAATATATTGCAGTTCTTCGGACTATTGTGGGCGACAAGAATATCATTTGAGGTTGCGCGTACATTCCTGTTCTGGGCAAATATTATCAAGTGTACTTTAGGGGTTGATTTGTTCCGTGGAACCACATTATATCGACGCAAATCAAACATTGCCCGGTTCAACTGTGTCCCTCGGGAGAACTTTCCTTTTCTATTATTTGTAATTGGATTCTGTTTGATGTACACGGTTCATAATTGAATGAAAGCATTGGTGTACACTAGGGAAATTGCAAAGTTGGAAAAAGTGGGTCATGTTGAGAAACTACGTCACTCAGTCGTTTAAAGAGTTCAAATCTCTGGATAAGTTTTCACGAGATTGCTAACCTCTGTCGTAATATCGCGTATCCGAGAAATCCATAGACTTATCTTTCTAAGGGAGAAAACAATTTTGATAATTACTTTTTCACATTTGAAGTTAGCGTCAGAATTCATCGTTCTTTTGCTCCTCGCGATGTAAACATGTATGACTGTCCGTAAAATAGAATTACTTTCGAGAGATTCGTAAAATTATAACTAAAATTAGCGATTCGACCTTTCTACGCTATTAGGTTAATTGTTACGTTAATATTTTATAAATTAAATCAAATCACATGCAATTGGACGCCTAATTATGTAGGAGAATGCATTGTCTGTAACTGGATTGGGCTTGGTACTATTAATTAATTTATGTATTTCTATAACAAAAATTATAATTAAGAAGATATCGTCGTACTTTTTATTATTAACATGTTGAATGCTGCACGATTTCATAGAGCAAAATACACAAAGTGAATAAATATAATATTAAATCATTCGATTGAATTGCATCATGATTATTATGCATCATAGTTATTTATAATATAGAAATGTTTTCAAATAATCATCGTTTAATCGAGTGTACTACAGTAATTCGATTTTGTTGGGGGTCACCGGTGACCCCATGGCATTCGACGTGTTAAGCAACAAATATTCGGAAACTTATAATTTTGAATACCTGTTTCTCATACTTTTATATTTTTGAATGAAAGCAATTCGATATTTAATATTCTTTTCAACAGCGCATACATATGGTTTTCTTCTTATCGTACGTTTCGAAATTAACATTTTCAAATATTTTTCGATACCCGCATCTCGTTTTAATTATTCAGCAGCTGCGCTTGCTGGTGTCGCTTCACCTGTTGTAACGCAGCAAACGATTTGTTATTCGTCTCGACGTGTTGGTGTTTTTAGTCGCCCTTCCATTACGGATCTTCAGTTTCTTTTCCTTTTTTTGCGTGATCTTAAAATGATTGCTTCTTTTATACATTTCAGGTATTTTAGTTGTGAAATACCTGAACCGTGGCAGAAAAATAATTTTATCCTTTCTCTATTCAATATTCAGTCATATCAAATTTTTAATTGGTTGTGATCAATTTTAAATAGATCTGGAGCAGGCAAATACTTTTGAACGTATTTATTTAGAAATGTCCCATGATAGATTTCAATTTAATTTTGTAACTATTTCACGGTATCACCACAAACAATATATTTATTCCCATTATTTTACAATTTATTATAATTTATTGTTTCTCTGGTAGATCGACAATGCGAATAACAATTGTAGATTGAATTCATCAATGCGAGGAATCTTCTAATTTAAAGAAATAATCTTCATACTGTATTGACTGTGGTATTAATTTCTCTTTTCGTTAATTATTTTTTAATTCATAAGTTGCACAGTAAGCTTTCAAAATTTAATATCATTGCAGGTATTGGAGAACACAGTAAAGGTGAAATTAGTAAACTTTTTATGTAACTTCACACATTCGAGACGTTTAACTGACAGTCAACCCATATCACCCCGCGCCAATAACTTTATTTCCAATTTTACCTAGAAATTACAGTCAAACCTGTTTTTGTGCGGACCTTTTTTATGCGATTTCTTCTTCGTGCAATTTATTTTGTGCGATTTTTTTATGCGGTATATGAATTCCAATGATGTTGTTTTTCAAGTAAAGATAGCGACTTTGAACCAGTTCATCGCAAGAAGATGCGCGTTTTGGACTACGACGAGTAGCAGTGAATTGTGCATTGTGAAAATTCTCCATGTATGAGAAATTAAATTTTTGTTAAATGATTCCATGTAATATAATTATTTATTTTCTTTGAAAGCACTTTCTCACTATTTCGTAAATTTCTGAACATTTTTTTGTGCGGTCCCTATCTACCGCACAGGTTTGACTGTACGTGTAACAATTAAAACAAAAGACAGTAGTATATATTCTTACATTTCATAAAATTAAAATTTCTTAAGAGCGCAACGAAAACAGCTCAGTTGCTCGCCGATAGCGAAAAGAGAACTGCGTCATATGCGGAATATTCCGCTTACGGATGCAAATGGGTTAAGGAACTGTGACGAAAGAATATTCTAGAAAGTGTGCGTGTGAGATGAACGTATCTGAATGTATATATTGTGCGCGTGATTTGATTTAGATTGCTTATTTTATTACAAGTCACGCAGTAAGAATATTGTTTATACAAATTAAATATTTTCATTCTCCTGTAAATTCTTGGGGGAGAGAATAGAGTCTTTAAAGAATGTTGCCGTTCGCGCTGTTTATTATATGCGGTGGAACCGGATGCCAAGAAGCCTCCGGACCAAGTTCGACGCGACCAGACTGCTTGGCGTTGGCGGGTTCCGGTAAAAGCAGCTGTGAGACTCGATTACTCACGTCAGGACGCCATGGTTCGCGCGTATAACGCGGCTTGGCGCATCAGCCGGCTGCACTTTCTTGTACTCGTCCACTTTCCTCTCGGTGTGACGAGCAAAAAGACTGTACCCTCCGCCTCTCGTTCGCGAGACACATGTGAAACACCATCTTGATTCTTTTGGTTACCGCGCCTTTCGCATATTTGCGCGGAAATTTCAGTCTATTTAATCCTTTTCACTCCTGTGCCGAGGGAGATTCAAATTTCAAGAAT